TATTATATTATACTATACAGTATATATTATTTCATGTTATATTTAAGACTGAACAAGCTTGTAAAGAGTCTGAGGCCTGTATCTGGCATTGAGCATGCACAAAATGCACTTGAAAAATGAATAAGATATATTACCAGAAGCAGTTTCAATGACACTTGCAATAAAATGAGTGATTGTGAAAGACTTTTTTATAGTGTTGATAGGTTTCCATATTTGAAAGGTACCAAGCACATTCCGAGTACTGTTGTTGAGGAGGAATACCTACTCATTGTTAAATAGGTCTGTTCATAGTGTGATCTAAGTGTGCAGCAGTGCATTCCAATGTTTTGCTGTTCTGGTTCAAGAATGAAAGGCTTTCTGGTATGGCTGATTACCGTTGAAAATTACATTTTGGTAGAAAGGGGAAAAAGTCTTCTTTTATGTAAAAGCAAAATAATGAAAACTGTTAATTTTCAAATGCTGTAAATAGACATAAATACAATTAAAATATGAGAAATCGGAAGTATTAGTGCTGATTTTTTTTTTTTTTAAGATGAAGGTCAGAAAGAGATTCTATGAGAATTAAAGATGTAAATTTCAACTTCCTTGTACTTTTTTGCTCATTTTCTTTTCTGTGCTGTCTTCCAGAACTAGCTCAAGTTAATTCACATTCTAGGATCTGTATGATTACGCCTTTGTAATAAAGGAACTGTATCATCAATTCTATAATTGATGATACAGGCTTTAAAACCCATGCATCTGTACTGTCTTTGTCATCTTGTTGATATGTCTGGTAGAGGTTTGCTGTAACTCGGTAACTGAGGAGAGCTTAAATATTTAGTATTAATTAATGTTAGGTATTGGCCAGTAACTGGAACTTTACCTGTATAAATACATTGTCCTTGGAAAGGGAGTGTAATTAATATGAGCTGAGTGGTTGTTTCTAATGTCCATTGGCTAGAAGCCATGACTGTGTTTTGGCCTGAAGAGCTAACGTTCCCAACTAGGTGAAGCAAAAATATTTCACGCAGGACAGTAGGGAGTATCAGAGAAGTGAGAGAAGGAGCATTGTTGGGACAGGAGGATAGAGACTGGGGTTGAAAAACTCCGAGAGGAAGGAAGAGAGCCTTGACACATGAGCACGTAGAAACCAGGTAACAGAAATTCAGATTAGTTTTCGTGCACTTTACATCTCTGCTCCAGCTCTTCATAACCTGCCATGTCACTGGAGTGGACACTGAGAATTCTGCAACTGTTTTTATTTAAAATTATTTTATAGGTTGCACTTCCAGCAGATGAAGTCTTCACAGGTCTGAAGCCAAGAACTGGAAAAGCTGCAAAAGTATGTGATAGATTGCATTTATTTTTCTTTTTGCATATCCTTTAGGCAATAGATGAGGGTAAAGGGAAAAGTGATGTACTTTTAGTAAGACTTGAAAAAGCGTATCTTGAAAGGTGGCCTGTCATAAGTAAGGTTGGTGTTTCTATATTTTCAAACTGTTAGAGTAAAACGGTGCAATTGAGTGGGGTGGATAGGTTGTGATTTCAGTTCTGTTCTACAACAGCAGCTGGTAGCTTCAGTTGTACACTGTAGTTTATCTTCCTGAATAGAGAAAATTCAGTCATCAGGGCAAGATTTTCATTTGGTAAGAGCACGTATGCTAGATCTTATATGTGGTGTTAGATAAAATTATTTAAAATTATTTAAATAGAAAGTTATTGCAAAGTACTGGATTAATATCAGTTGAAGTTACAAGTTTAATTTATTTTTCATTACAAACTTAGAGGATTTCATTTCTGCCTGTAATTTGCACACTGGATAAGTAAAAAAAAATCTCTAGATGTAAGTAACAGTCAGTGTTAAAAATATGTAATGTTTTTGCTTTCTTTCTTTTTAGGAATATCCATTTATTCTTGATGCCTTTCAGAGAGAAGCTATTCTTTGCGTAGATAATAACCAGTCTGTGTTAGTGTCAGCTCATACATCAGCTGGTAAAACTGTTTGTGCGGAGTAAGTAATTTTCTGCCAGGCTGTAATAAGAGAATGGTGTGATGTTTGTCCTGTCATTTTGTTGAACTGTCGGTAGCTATTGTGTCTCAGTTTCTTGATACAAAATTTGGACCGTCAATGTTAGAATTGAATTTTGTACTCTTGAATATAACAACTATTCTTTCATCTTGTTTAGTGGATAGTGAAAGACTTACTTTGTGTTTAAGCTTACCTTTTATTTTTAAACAATCTGGTTTTCCTGAGATGTTTTTATATAGATTGAAAGTTTCTGCAATACAGGTTTGCATTAATTTAGAAAAAGATACCTTTGTTTTCTAGTCCGTAGCTATAACTAATAAGGAGTTTCTTGTGTGTTGTTTTTGCTTTGTCAGAAGCACTGGTTCGATTTAATTTGCAACTTGGTGTTTATTGGGGAAGAAATGGTATCATTCCACTGGTGTTTGGAATTGCTTTTTTTTTTTTTAAGCAGAGGATTAGAGGAAAAGACTATGCCCTGAGTGTCTTCTCTGCATTTACAACTTCAGCATGTACAATGTTTGAATACAGGTATGCCATTGCCCTGGCTTTGAGGGAGAAACAGCGTGTGATATTTACAAGTCCAATTAAAGCTTTAAGTAATCAGAAGTACCGTGAGATGTATGAAGAATTTCAGGATGTTGGTTTAATGACTGGGGATGTCACCATTAATCCTACAGCTTCTTGTCTGGTGATGACAACTGAGGTAAGATCAGACATTAATTCTTGATTTGTTTGTGTTTACTTCTACTCTTTTTTTGATTAAGAAAGTCTGATACTGGAAGGTGAAAGTTATCATAATAAGACCAATTAAGGTAGAAAATGTTATAAAGTTCATTATGTCTCCCTTTAATGTTTTAACTTTTGGATATTGAAAAAGTTTAATCTCTGTGAATTCATGCTTTTGGACTGTCAGTAACTTTCATTCTCACATGGAGAAAGGCAGAACTTAATTTCCTAAATCCTTAAGACACCAAGTTTTCTTTGGATAGATGTGAAGTACTGGAAGTCAGTCAGACTTACTGAATCCTGTAGGGTCAATGTTTTTTTTCCAGAGAAACAAAACGAGGAGAGGAAAATTATTCAGTGATGTTTGAGTTGATCACACTAGATGCTAGTTCTCCAGGAACATGCAGCTTTTCATCTGTGGTAGCAAAAGTACTGTTGGGACAGTTGTCATACATCTGTTGTAGAAATCTGTGCAGCCATGAGTTGGAATTTTCCTCTTTCTGTCTTTACCTCAGAGGAGTAGAAAGTTTTATGGAGAAAACTTTGGTAGGGGAAGATCGCAGTGGAGAGACAAGATGACTTGATTTCTGACAAAAGATTTCCTCTTAATCACAGAGAGGTTGTCTATTGGGATGAGAGAAGAAGAAGGCTTGGCAGAATTAGATCTGTAGACCAGTAACAGATACGCTGCTACACAGAGTCTGGGATAAAATTGTTTTTTCTTTCGTGTTCATACACTTCTCTTGCAGGGAAACCGGTTAATCTCATATCAGGAGATTTGTTAGATTGGAATAAACTTGGAAAGCATCTCACAGCCAACCTTTAAATGCTTTGAAATTTTGTGCAAAATAAGATCTCACATTGCCATGTAAATGTGAACCAGAAATTCTGAAAGTTTCTTACTGACAGCTCTGTAACACATGACTGTTTGTTGTTATTTCATGTGATGAATCTCAATTTTTTTTCTGTTTCTAGATTTTGAGAAGTATGCTCTACAGAGGTTCTGAGGTTATGCGAGAAGTTGCATGGGTTATTTTTGATGAAATCCACTACATGAGAGATTCAGGTATCTTATATATATAATTTTTATTTTCAATAGATTTTTTTTTCACGAGGAACATTTTTTTTTCTTTTAAAGAATTAAAGCTTTATTTTTCTCTCTTAAAATCAGCCATCTTTATGCTAAATAATTGGGAATTTGTTTTCTACTAAATCTATATAAGATAGTTACTGTGTGTCATGGTCTGCATTTTATTAGCCAAGTCAAAAGCCAGTTTGAGGGTGTTTGGTATACTTTATTTGTGTAGTGAAGGCTTTTTTTCATTTTTGTTTTATTTAGTCTTGAAGCATGCTGTTCTTTGGCTTCAGACCTGAAAAACAGGCTTTAATGACATACGTTTCCCATGTGACTTTTCCGTTTTCAGAACGTGGTGTGGTTTGGGAAGAGACGATTATTTTGCTCCCTGATAATGTTCATTATGTGTTCCTTTCTGCAACTATTCCAAATGCCCGTCAGTTTGCTGAATGGATCTGCCATCTTCACAAACAGGTAATGTTTCTGATGTGCCATACCTCTATCCTTGTCTTGTGGCGTGATACTGTCTCTTTGGTTGATGAGAACTGAACTTTTCAGCATCTTTTCATTCGTCATCTTACTGCTTATAAATTATGATATAGATCATGCCTGCCTTCTCTTGTACTGCTAGCTTTTGCAGCTATACTGGCTGTTGGTTCTACGTAACAACATCAAAGCTGTTTCTTTAAAGTTTGTTTTCCACACTTACTTAGACACCATCTTGATTTCAACAACTCTTCTGAATTATGAAACACGATGAATGTACTATGATTTTCAGAGGGCTGAGAGACAAGAAGTTACTTGGACAATATGTTCAAAGAGCTCTGTAAAGAGGCCATGCAGAAATGAAAAGTAAATTATAAAACCATAGGAAATACTGTATATGCATGCAAACAAATTGAGAAAAGAGAAATGTGAGAAATCTATACTGTTGTGTAACCATTAGATTTATTTTATTCTGTTTTTTTGAGAGATGCTTTTGCAGCAAAGGATATGGGAATTAGAATTGGGGAAGTTAATATCCACAAGAGGTTGGTCTGATTTTAAAAATACACCGAAGATTGATTCTTACGTTGTTGGTGATGAAACACTAAACATTGACTTTTTTTTGCAAAACACTAGATTGTGGTTTTTTTAAAGTAGGTTTATGCAATATTTAATGTTTTAAAGGACGTGTTTTGCTTGTTTTTTTTCTAAACAAGCTTTTTCCATGCATTAAAACCTTAAATGTCTTTTTCAGGTGGTGTAAGAAATATTGAAGTCTTTTTTACAAAATAGAAATTAACAGCTTTTCCTTTTGGTTTTAAATGTTGTTAGAATTTTGAGTCTGTGTAATAGTACAGGAGGAGATACTACCTGTTCCTGTGTTCATGAGAAAGAATTTTTGTAGCCAACTTGTGTTGTTCTAAAGGATTGGCAAACTTTCAATGCAAAAAAAACCCAACCAAACAAAAAAAACCCCCCAAAAACCAACAATGCAATTAGTACTAAAGCTATATTCAGGAAAGAAAATTTGTTATCTTAGTTTCTTACTTTCCCATTTTTAGAAATTTTAATGCCATCAAGTGTTTTTACAATGCAATTAGAAACATTAAATATTTATGTTTATGCTATTCTTTCTTTATAGCCTTGTCATGTGATTTACACAGACTATCGACCCACTCCACTGCAGCATTATATATTTCCAGCAGGAGGAGATGGACTCCATCTGGTTGTTGATGAAAATGTAAGGAATATTCAGTTTGTGTGAGAGGTCTTCTTTCATGCATATCAGTCATGAGCTTGATCTCTTGCAAAATTTGTATTGGCTATACAAAGGATGTTTGTGTTAAAATGAAGTACAAAGGGGTAACACTAATCTCTGAATTGCTGTTAGAAATTTGGAGTCTTCTAGAAGAGATTGGTTTTATGTCATGTAGTCAGCTGAGTAATGCTGAGATGTCTTAAGTGCCCTCATCCTTGCTCTGTTTTCTAAAGTGCATGCTGCTTTCTGCAAATCTGCAAAGGAACTGATGTTTCTTTCACTGTTTCTCACTCAGAAGAAGATGTAGTATTTAAATTTTACTTCGGTTGAGGGTGCAAAATATGTCTCTGTCTTTAGGTGATTTTGAACTAACTTGTTTAAAATTCGTCATCGTCTTGCACAGCAGTAGCTAATGCCATAAACAGCAGTACTACACTTGAAGCTAGATCTTAATTGGGCAGTGTAGTTTCAAGTAGACGTTCCTAAATGTCAGTTTTGGTATTGTGTCATCCAGGAGGCCTAGTGTGGTTTTGATGGTGTGGTGGATAGAACAATAACTTCAGAGACATCAGTGTAATTCAGAGCTGTGCCACTGACCTAGAAAACTCACTTGCTAGTTTATGCATTGTTCTTGTCCTTCTGCATATAAAAATCTGGAGTAATGGTACTGCCTATGCAAAGCGCTAAGTATTTTAAGTGGGCTATGTAAGGCGTAATTGCTTACAAAGGTTGTGTTTTATATCTAGGGAGATTTCAGAGAAGATAATTTTAATACAGCAATGCAAGTGCTTAGAGATGCCGGAGACTTAGCAAAAGGGGACCAGAAAGGCAGGAAAGGAGGAACAAAAGGTGAGTTTGAATCCAATTCTAAAGTAACTTTTCTTATAATACAAGTTGTATGCAAGCTGTGCTTGTGTCTTAATTATTCCATAAGATACTTTTTTACTAAAATTACATTTAAATTAATGTAATCTCTCTGCAGGTCCTTCCAATGTTTTTAAGATTGTGAAGATGATAATGGAAAGGAATTTCCAACCTGTGATTATTTTCAGCTTCAGTAAGAAAGACTGCGAAGCCTATGCTCTTCAGATGACAAAGTTAGATTTCAATACAGGTAGAGATAAATAAAAAATATAGTTTTATTCACTTGTAGTTTGATGTGAAACGTTACTCTGGTTAGGTATTTCTATTTCCTTTCTGACTTTTTGTGTAAAAACAAATGAAAAGTATGGATTTTCTACTGTCCTAGTTTTGATCCTGGCTGGCAGCCAAACACCACAACAACTGC